CCTATCATCAAAAGTTGGCCATCGGTCGATTCAAAAAGTGAATATGATTCACGTCGATGTTCATCTCATTTGGACAGATACTTTGGACCTCTAAACTGGAGGACAACCATTAGAGACCACGAGGTCATTGCCATCAACACATTGACCCTTGACCCCGAGATGACGGACTCTGAAGCTCACCAAGAATCGCGAGACTTCCTCGACACGTTGAAAAAAGGTGACATCCATCTCGCCATGCATCATCATCGTCTAAAGAGTCTGACACCCCACAGAAGATCCCAGGCGACCGCGGATACTTTTAACGCACGTACCTCTTTGGAGGCCTCCTAATTCAGATTGTGGTGCCTCAGGAGGTCCGCCTATCGTAGATCGGGTGGGATACAGGTGATCTAACACTTTGACGTTTAGTGGAAAAAATCTGTGCCCACGAATCCAACAGTTACACAAACATGCTGACAAGGGAGATATCGGAGGAGTTGCTATCCCTGAGGCCCATGCTTGTCTTGAGCGGTGATAATCACCACCACTGTGATTACGTCCATCCAAATGGGATACTTGAGGTGGGCGTGACGTCGACGCACGTGATGGAGGTAGCTCATGACGAGCAGAGGACGGTGGGGACTCTGAGTTGGCTCCAGGGGATCGATGAACCCAGCATCACGGTTCTAAACGTTCATGATCGTGGAGAGAAAGACACTGCAAGTCGTCCGACGCTCAATGTGTGTCGGTGAGCGAGACAACAGAGACGATTGCGGATGACAATTTGAAGGATGCCGAAGCAGATGGACATATATTGGGCTTACACGATCGTCGGCATCACAAGCTTTATCGTAATGGTGGTCAGAGAGCTGATGCGAAGCCCATCTTATAACGAATCAGCCAAAGTCATCGCCTTTCAATTCACAAAGCTAGTCATCTGCGTCCTATCCTTCTACACATTCCTCTTGTGGGCTTTCATCTAGATGAATCCACACATGATGATTCCCTCCAACGATGATTGCGGGACGAAGACAACGAAATGAAAGTGTCTATTGCGGAATAAAAGAGCACGTGTCTGTGTATCGACTCTTCCAATGTCTCTCGATCGGGCAGCCTGTAATGCCACACACTTTTTCGTCACGGGAGGCAACTACGGTAACTAACGTAAACATTTGGCCTCCTGACGTGAGGTTGTCCAGAAAATTTAACAAATTCAGATCCAAGCGAAGTCCACATCTTCTTTCGATCAACACATACAGAGGTAAGCTTGAAAGATATTCTACCTTTATGTGTCTATACGAGAACTCGTCGAATTCGTCTTGGCACGTCCATCTCTTTCAGTGATCCGATCTGGTTTAGAACCGATGGAGATTGAGAGAAAGAGATGAATACCGTTTAGCTTCGTTTCGTTTGTTCATGCGAACGAGTCATCTGTGTTTTCATTTTTGGCTGATTCATCTTACAGACACACAACACACAAACAATGGCTCTAAAGAGAATTCAGGTAATTGTTTTCTATTCTTTTATCCACGACTGTGACCTGATCCTCCCACAGAAGGAGCTGAAGGATTTAGAGAGGGACCCTCCCTCATCTTGCTCGGCTGGCCCAGTTGGCGACGATATGTTCCACTGGACAGCAACCATCATGGGTCCTGTGAGTGGATTTCTCGGAATCATCTCCTTCATTGTTTCTGATACATCCTTAGGAGGACTCTCCATATTCTGGGGGCGTCTTTTTCTTGAACATTCACTTCCCTGCAGATTACCCATTCAAGCCTCCCAAGGTACATAATCTCTCCGTTCTTTTTCAATACGTTGAACACCTCTATCCATTATCCTCTTCTCGCGACTCATTCCTACGACTCACTCCTCAAAGGTTAACTATACTACGAAAGTATATCACCCCAACATCAATAAGAACGGAAGTATCTGTCTGGACATCCTGAAAGATCAGTGGTCCCCCGCTCTCACCATCTCACGAGGTGACGTCTAGATCATCATCGGAGACGATCCGAAAATCATTTTATTCTCTTTTATTCTTCTCTGACTCGCCGCAGTACTGTTATCAATTTCTTCTCTTCTCACGGACCCCAACCCTGATGATCCGCTCGACCCTGAGATTGCTCACATCTACAAGACCAACCGTGCCAAGTTTGAGAGCACAGCCAGAGAGTGGACCACCAAGTACGCTCTCTAGTGGTGGAATCAATAGATGAAGCTTGTCAACGCGTCTCTTTCGTTCTCTCTGGTGTTCGTCTATCCTCTCGCTTGTTGTCCACGTGATGAGTCGAACATGTTCCATCATGGGATGAGATGGATGTATCACGAAAGAGAAGACATTCTACAACGTCGTAGAGGAAGTCGAAGCATCGAGTCGCTCAGTGAGAGGATGGTGAGCCTCCGTCATCGATGTCCTCCGCAATCATGCAAGATGATTAGACATTGCGATTCATCAAAACTTTATAAATAGAAGACTTCTTCTTGGAAGAGTACAGGACCAGCTCAAGGTCCAAAGCGATGCGATCCACGATCGAGTGGTCGCTGTCGCGGGAGAGGTATCGATTGGTATAGCCTTCCCTCTTTACATGAAGCTGGCAACGATGGCAGCCAAGACCAGAACCGTTGGGGCGATGAGACTCGAAGAGGATGAGCTCTTCTTCTCGGTGATGGCGGCCTTGGCGAGGATCTTGGATCGCAATGTGGCGTCACGTCCGCAGATCTTCATGGACGATGTGAGGCCGTGGTTGGTACAACCCTCGGTGGGCTGGATGTTCAACTCGATATCGCAGGTTTCTGTTTTCGTATGAGAAGATGTTCGGAAATAAGAGGATGGGACTCACCATGCGTAATGTCGAAACGGAATTCCGGGCCGGTGCAGTCAGAACCGACGAAGTAAACCGTGATCGAGTCGGTGAGCTCTACGATGGGGGCTGTGGCATCACAAGACTGTCTTTCCGCTGGGATGGATCGGCAGGTGCCAGATGTGAAGGATGAAGAAGAGGCAGACGGCCCAGAACAATCCCCAGAGTAGTAGGTGTCTATCGTGTTGATTCCCGTCTCTCTCGAACAAGTTGAGACGAAACTCCGCGTGGAGTCTACGATGTAAATGAGAGGTTGGTCGGGCATTATGTAACGAAGAACTCACTCATGGGAATACAAACGCCTTGAACGAAGTGTGTGCTGGAGGTTGTTGCACCCAGACAGTCTCCTTCTGAGAATGATCTCACCGAAGAGAATGAGTGAGCGATTGCTGCCGACAAGAGGAGAAAGAAGAAGAATACAGATTGCATGGTTGTTACACGTTGATGGTACAGCTAAAGCTTCAGCTAGCTCCTCTCTCTACTATCGTCGCCGTTGAAAAATGAACCAGGCTGGTGGCGTAGTTTTGACTGCCTAACACACGCAGATCCGATCGGTTAGTACCTTAAGACACGATCATGCCGATGCAAGGAGGCCTTATAATATCCCGTCATGACATGTGCATCACCTTAGGATCTAAAGCGTTGGATGAGTGTCCCTTACGATCTCACACCAGCGTGGCACCTTTGTGCGAGCCGTTACTTGGGGATGATCCTTTGGACAAACTTTCTGTTTCGAGCTGATTGGCAATCAGCTTTCCTTCACGAATGAGCAGCTTATCAGCTCCGGAGCGAGCCGAAAGGAAGAGAGGGCTCGAGAGAGGCTGTGTCGTCCACAGAGAGGAGGCTCTATATCGCATGCACCCGTCCTCTCTCAGGCGTGCTCCACCACGTCAGCCCTATTAAATAATGTGCGGTTCACCTCAACACCAGCTAAGGGGTACGTCTTGCTCAGGAGAAGCACGACACCACATATAATATTGCAAATAAAGACATGATGGCAACGACTCTTTTATTGTGGCGATATAACGTCTCCATGGTAGAACCACAAACACCCCGTCGTAGCGATGCAAGCGACACCATCTCGATTGCAATGTGATGTCCATCCTCTATACACTCATGCCTCGGCCGCCTTGACTAGCTTATCCAAGACCATCCTCTCGAACGATTGAAACTCTTCCATCGACATGGTGGGTTTAGGTAAGAGTCCAAAGGCAGCGGTCATGCTCGATTCCTTCACGTCCTTTGGTCTCTTTTCGGGCCATGAGACCTTTAGAGGGTTGTTCGTGTCTCCCATCTGCGTCATGAAAGAGGCAGCCAGGGCCGAATGGATGTTGGAGAAGGTGATGAGCGCGGCCGAGCCTTGAATGACAATGTGTTGAACATCTCCAAACATGCTAAAGAAGTAGTTGAGTCTCTCCTTCGAGTAGCTACCGACGGCATCGTTCCACGATGCCTTCAAGATGGGCAATGGGGCATCTGATTTCTTGTCCTTCTCCTTCGGTGCGTTGGATGCCCATTGGTCCGCCCATGATTCCTTCTCTTCCTTCCTTCGCTGTCTCTCCTTCTTAAGCCTGTCGATCTCGTCCATCACGTCGCTCTCTGCCTTCTCTTGTCTCTTCTGTCTCTTCGCATGTTCTCTCTCCCTCTCCTCCAGATCCTCTTTGACCTTTCTCGAGCGGTCGCTCATGGCGGCCGTCCGTTGTTTGGCCTTTAGACGGGCCTCCAATACGGCATCGTATCCCGATCGAAGTCCTTCATCGGTGAGAATCTGAGAAGCTTTCTTCGCCAAGTGAAACTTTTCGATGAGCTTCGCATCGCCCTTGACTTTGTCTGGATGATACTTGATGGAAACCTTTCTGTATGCCTTCTTGATCTCTTCGGTCGTCGCAGTCATCTCGATCTCTAATATTCCATAGTAGTCCTCATCTTTATCGAAGGTGAGGGCTGACATCCTCTCGTGTTGAAATGGCGATTGATGTGATGTGATGCGGCTCAAATTTTCGTTGTAGCAAGTTCAGAGAAAAGTTACGAGGCAAAGAAAATCTTCCACAGAAGCAGAGGCTTGGATTTCTCTTCCCCAAATGGGCTCCGATAGACTGAGTGCACCTCTAGATGTTCAAGATGGTCATTCATGATTTTAACGCTCCAAAATGTAAAAGAAGGCTCCTGCGAGGATCGAACTCGCGATCTCTAGTTTACGAGACTAGCGCCTTACCACTTGGCCAAGGAGCCGGATATGCGTTTCGTTCCATTCGCGCAATCAAACGTCGGAAGCTGATTCTTTCAATCGTTCGACAGGCAGCGTTGTCTCAGCCTACTGATAGTGTATCTGCTTGTCGTTTCTCAAGTCACCCGCGGATGAATCGCATACGAAACTGCAGGGGCAATTGGAAACCTTGAGAAGCTTCCTGCACGAGAAGGTGTCGGCGACATTTCTTGGTTGTCCGTCCGACACCTTCTTATGCTCTTTGTTCACCCGATTAGCCGTTTCACACGACCAGTCTGTACTTTCTTCTCCCCCACAATGAGCAAGACTTTCTCCCTCGTCTCTCTCCTCTTCCTCGCTGCGGCCGCTGCTCCCACTGGTACGTCTCCACCCTCTCTCCTCCTAATGCAGATAGGTACCTTCTCTTTCCAGGATATCTATGGAAACTCTCTTACCAACGTGACTGCCTTTCCCAACAATGCTCTCGTCGAGCTGAGGGTATTATTCACTGGAGTCTCTGTACCAGCCGGATCTGTTCTGTCTCTGTGGAAGGTGTGCCCTGCTGTTCGGCTGCGTACGTCCCTTCTGATCGAAACACAGGCAGATCCTGTAAACCAAGAGTCCTTGGGCCTGGCATACTCCGATTCAGCTCATGTTACCTTCGACGTCCAATCTAATCTCGACTCGAAGTTTCGGTTGGTCCTCCGTTCGAGCCAGAACGACGGCTCGGTCATCACCAATGATGTCTTGTGGTCTCCGTCGTACGATGTCATCCCATTCGCCTTCGAGTGCACCTTCAAGGTGGATTCCATTCTAATGTTCTGCATCTTCTAATGAAATTCTGTAGGTCCGAGATCTCAGCGCATCCACCAAAACGATCAAGTTTAGTGCGAAAGGAAAAGACGATTTGTATGTCTTACCGATCTCACTCGTCCGTCTCGATCTGATGTGCTGCAGTTTTGGACCCAACGTATCGTTCCGCGATACAGTCCTCCTCACAAAGGTCCGTGAGGGAGACAACGTTGCCAAGCTCAGCAAATCTCTCCAGCCTAATGACAGGAACACCATGAACGTCATCTTCTACGTGGAGGATCCCCGTCTGAAGGGAACCGTTGAGAAGATCTCTGCCACCAAGAGCCGTGTAAGCTGATATTGATCCATAAACGAATCACTTTTCGATTCTTCAATGACCAACACAACGCGTCTTTCTCTTTATCGCTCGACTCTAAGCAGTTCGTCTCGGTGAAGAAGAATGATACGATGGGTGAACGCACGTGTGATGAGTGGGCTGTGAAAGAGTTCACTGATAAGCTCGTCTTGTCTCATGGACATATCAATTATGTCAGGTTTTCTTCTTCATCGCGAAAAAAAATTCCGTGAAAGATTGAAAACCTACATCCGATCGTGAGAGCTGCTGGGTGAGATGATGATCTCAATCTGACCCCTTTCGTAGAAGACTCGATTCTTGTTTCATGTTCTAAAGGTCAATAGGGTATTGAGATGGAACAATGGCCATTAACGAAGAGAGGCGATCCTCAGCAGAGCTCTCTTCGCGCTCGACTGATTAGAATGCAATGGAAACATTTCAAAGATGCTTCCACTCCAAAGGTATATTCTTATTGAATGCCACTACCGGCGACCTGGCCTCTAATCGAACATGTAGGAACAAGCCACATTATTGAATCAGTTTCTGAATAATTTCGTGACTTGTTATTACTCAACCGAAGAGAGTACATATATCCCTCACCGGTGGGATATCGATGTCAACTATTCACCCAACCACTCACAAATCTCACAGATTCGGTGACACAGAGGAAGTCGAAGAGAGGATCAGTCGAGTCCTCGTAGAAGAGATCCAAATGATCATCGGCTGCCAGCCCTCTGACGACCTGGACTTACAGGCAACTGCTGGAGCTAAAAGTCGAGACATAATGGACTATTTGGGTGGTCTCACACATCACGGCACTGGTTTATTGATCATTACTGCTCTTCACATCATCAGTCGATCTGTGAGACGATCATCACCCCATTTCGATTTTTCACATCATCATTTCTTTCCATTCCATCTCTTCTCTCCTCTGACGATGACGTAGAAGGGTCATCATCCGGGTGGACTGATCACATGTCTGTCTTCTCTCTTGGCCCATCTCATCCAGATGTTACCCACCATAGAGGACTCACAGAACATCCAACACATGACAGCTTTGGAGAGGTTACAAGACACGTACGGAACTCGAAGAAATCGAACGGACAGCCGCGGAGATCCGATAGGTATTGGCTCGTTGTAGATCGATTTGACCCCAGCAGGGCATTGGGTCCCCATCTGTAATTTCTATTTCCCTCGAATTCCCACGGTATTTCATGAACCCATCATTCCTCCTTTCATCTCACAGACGCTCAAGGCTGTTAGTTCATCTCACTTTATGGACGAGGTGACAAGATTTTTCATATCACATGTGATAGTTCAATGAATCTCGTACATTTCTCGTTGTAGATGACTGAACATATCTCTCCAGCCGGTCGAGATAGAAGAAGAGGCGTCACACGATTACGATCTACAATTGATGAGGAGGAAAGTATTAGCCAGTAGAGGGATACGCCTCGTCTTCGCGAACGTCTGTTATCACATGTTCTCTATCATCGGTGACTTTTCCACGACATTTCTCCCCTGAAGAAATTTTCAGGAAACATTCTGATGTCCACGTCATCACCGGACATCAACCGATCGAGGTACATCATCAGAGGACTGGAAGAATTACAGAACACGGACAGACTGAAATTTCTGTGGAATCTACTGTCGAAGAACATCGAAAACCCCAACCACACCCCGGAGGATACCACGAACAGCCGCTACCGGTGAGAAATTTCCGAAAAAATTTCATGACGTACGTCAGAACCATTCGATCCATTCACCACGGAGAATTCTGTGACATGTCAGACCTCGCATCAGATTCAAATTTCCATGACATTTCAGCGGATCAGATGTGGACCATACTGGTGCACAGTAACATCAGAACCATCACTCAATTGGTTCATGCAACGTCAAACTTCTCTCACTACACGGAATATCTTCACAGATCGGGACTGTATCGCAGTATCTTGTTTGTTCTGAGAGAAAAGACGTCGGTCAGACCTTGTTTCTCTATGGAGCTATCACAATTGCTTGTCATGGCGGTCAAGGTAAGTCCATCCATCTACAACGCTACCTGTCGATCTACAACGCCATCATTCCATCTACAACGTGATCTGAACTTTCATTCAGGAATCACCTCAATCTCCCATCGCAATTGATTTCCATCAATATGGAGCCTACAACATATTGACCGACGTCACCACTACCATAGGAAAGAAGGGAGATCGTACGGATCGACTGTTAGCCGTGTCCAACCTGTGTCACTCCTTCTTCATCGTGCAGAGAGGAGAAGAATCATCCCACAACCCACACATCTGTGAGTGATGACGTCATCATACGTCATCGTGACGTTCGCAGGGACGAAGAATATCCGCGGATTCTCCGCACTGCTCCAAGTCTTCGTGGAGACGGAGAGACATTCGAGTTTTCAGACAGAAGTCATTCTATTCATGAGAGAGCTTCTCATTCAATACAGTCGGGATCATTACTCCGATGACGTCAGATCCAGCGGAGATCAGGTGAAATTTCGATACGCATCTGATTTTTGCGAATGCGAATGCGACTGACGCGTGTAGGAGGACGATCGAGAGGCCATCGATGAGTTGGAACCTTTCTGCGTTCTCTTTGGTCTATTCGACACGTTGAATCCGTTCAATCGTAAGCTTGTCTTGAACACGGTGGACGAGTACATCAGCAATCGAGATTTGAAGACGGACGAGTGGAAGGCTTACACTTGTCTGTTGTCTACCGGTGAGATGTCTGTGGATCGTTGTAGATTGACGGAGATAGATAAATCACCCAGCACGATTCTGTTGGTGTTGAATCACTGCATCAAATTGGTGGCAGAGGACGCGACACGCAGAGATGTCTTAGTTTTCCGTGCCGATCTCTTCTCGGTCAGTCATGATATCATCACTCGATCCATCTACAACGATCGCTCATCTAGAACAGAGACTGGTCACTTATTTGTCACTTCCCCACGATCTACCCTGTCAAGTCTCTCTACAATCTGATTCAGCGGAATTATCGTTGACTTCCAGCATGATTCGAGATCTGGCAAAGAGTGTAGACACCACGGACGATGAAGTATCGAAAGTATTGTACAGAATCGTCAAGCAGGCCATGCACTTGGTATTAGCTCTCATCTCAGATCACTTACCCAACCAATCTGCCTTCTCTGACGGGTGACATTTCATCTCGATTGCGAAATTATCTTCGATCCTACGACATAAGGCTGATGATTGTACAGAGGGGGAGTGAAAAAGTTGTACGGACTTTTCAGTGACAGCAAACTCCGCGGAATTTCATTGGAATGTGTATCTGTCATGGCCATCGGTGACTCGACGCAAGAGAGTAAGATCGTTGTAGAGCTCGTCGACGTATTGAAATACACGGGAAACAATACCATCTACGAGGCCAGCCTGTTGTCCATGCGTAAAGGTAAATTCCACGTTACGTTACGTACATTTACGTTTGTAGATATCCTAGCCTGCCTGTGCTACATTTTTTCCAAAAACAAATATACGAAAGATACGTTCAGAATCGGTGGAGGTTTCATCTGGACCATTTCTATATTAGACAAGATGGGTCGATGCATGGACCCTTCCATCTACGCACACAACAGTGAGTCTACAACGTTGTAGATGGATCTCATTCCAATAGATCCCACGGGTAGTTCCGAAGAGTCGAGAGATTTCAAGACGGTTGCCATGGCATTGCAAGAGATGCAGAGAACGAGATCGAGGAGTGTGGGTGAAGGGAGGACGAGGTCACTATCGAAGGAGAAAACGAACATGGATCGTTCTCTCAACGCGATGAAGCACATGAGGTGATGACGTGTGATGACGTGTGATGACGTAAGCAGTGCTTATCCGAAGGAAGAGAGTGATCCGG